TATTATTAATGTTAGAAACCCATTCTATACTGGTAGACATCCCCAATCTTTAAACTACTGGATAGATAAATATGTCTAGATTGAATAAAGAAAGATATGTCCCTACTATTCAAATGATTCATGATTCAATTCAATACTGTCAACCTTTACCATGAGTAAATTCATTAGTAAACACACCCTTGAGGGCATGGTTTGTGCCTTCACCAGGCTTTGTGTTTATATGTGACATAGGGTCTGATCTGCCTGCGTAGGGATGGGCACACCATTGCTTCAGTAGCTTATACATAAAAGGTTCAGGCTTGCTTACGAAAAGACTCTCTCTCTTTATTATAAAGCTAAAAGGTCTATGTTAACAGTATGTAAAGATAATATAGGTAGAAACATTCTAGAACTATTACTTCTAAGTGCTTGGGTTTATGTTACTAGAGCTGTAATTCAGAAACATATCCACTACCATTGGTTAGACAGCTAATGACACTGCAAAAAGCCTTAGAGCTCAACAAACAGCCTCTGAACTCCCTGGCTCAAGTAATGCTAGATATTAGAATTGCCTTAAATTTTCTCCTAGCCAAACAAAGAAGAGTCTGTACAGTGGCCCACATAAATGGTTATACTTACATCAACACCTCAGATAAAGTGGAGGTTCCTATAAAAAGAATTTCCAAACTAGCTCAATAGTTACGAGATATGCAAACTACTGATCCCCTCTATCTATTTAGTAGGCTTCCTGTCAGACTGGAGAACACTTTTTGAGCTGATGTTCAAGTGCTTGTTATAATCACAGTCTTCATCATGCTTTTCTTCCCAATAGTTAAATTCCTTGAGATATATATATATATATATATATATATATACATACATACATACACGCAATTGTTGTAAGTCTACTGCTAAAACTGGAATTTATGGCAGCATAAGGTATACAAAACTGATAGATAAGTTAAACCTGTAAACCTAGCTACAGTTTCATCCCTACAGCGCTGTTCTGGTGCAGGAATGTGTATATGTACAAAGACAGCTATGCTAGTTAAAAGTAAGTGTTACAATCTCCCATAAACAGAGTTTTAGCTGTGACCCTAATGCCTATAACTTCCCTGTGTAACTGGAGTCTGTTAAGCATTTCGTTGACAGGTACCAACCACAAGCTTGTTTACTATGTCTCTGCAAAACATTTTAATAATTTTCCTGCCAGATTGCAGTTTTCTCCCACCTCCAACAAAATATTTTTAACCTGTCTACCCTTTTCTCCTGCCTGGCCTAATTTATTCACTTAGCTATAAGTCTTTCTGCCACATGGGTCCCTTCAAGGGACTTGATATACTCAGGACAGGTAGCCATGCCTGGGACATGGTGTAAATTGGTCATCAAGGCTGCCTACAGCAGGTTTCAACTAACAGGGAAAACAATGAATATATATTCCAACAAACAGACAAAATGAACTCCCTGTGGTTAAAATGAGACCTAGCAAAAAAGAGAAGCTCATTGCTAAAAAAAATGGAGGATCAGTCACATAGCTCAGTATTACTAATGGCTCTAAGATTTCTCTTTGGTAATTAAGCAAAAACAAGCGCATGAAAAGCATTTCTGAAACAACTACAACCGCAAAACTTCCCAACTGATTTTGATAGACTGCTAATGCCAGTCAACACTCCCCAAACCCCCGACCTGCACCTTTCAGTCCTGCCATAACTCCAACTGGACAGAGGACTGGTCCTTTATTGATAAACAGCCACCAACCTCAAGACAGTTTTGAGAAATTTACAGAGACTGTGCACAAACTATCTTTGCATCCTATTGGCTCTTTTTGATATAAAATACCAAATGCCACATCATTTTCCTGCTAAAACCCTACACCAAAGTGAACATTGAATATATGTTACATATATTTTCATCCACTGTGCAGGCACTTGACTTCCCTCACTAATATTCATAGATTTTCCCCAACCATGCTTAAATATGCAAGTAAGGCTGACTCTGTAAGATATGTATCAGTTCCCACCACCTTTTGTGGAAAGTGCAGTTTTGATTTTCCCTGAAAGAGCATTTCCCAATCCACAGATTACTTCTCCCTCTAAATAAAGTATCCTTTCTTTCCACTGCGGATCTCACAGTCTTTTGTTCATAGATCATAGATGAGACTTTGGGCCCACACATCAGCGAATAGGAGACGTTTTAAGCTGGCATAAAGTATACAAGAAACAAACTGCCAAACTACCTAGGGATGAACCCAGCTATTGGGTTTGGTTTTGTATCATGAGCAAGGAGAAAGGATACAGTGGTTGCTACAGACACTGATTATCTGATCATGTGGTCATGAAACAAGAGTAACCATGGCAGGAGGAGACGGAACACCTTCGACCCTGGGGGGTCAAGAGTAGAAGGAGAAAAAACTAAACTCTTGTCTCTCACTTGTGGGACATTTGGGCTGGCCCTGTCAACTCTCAATGCTTTGGTGACCATCTTGCTCCAGGCTATCCCCACTGCTCTTAACCTAAGTAATGGGTACCCCCTTAACGAAGCTTTCCTAAGAAAACCTTAACTTGAGATTTTTTTTTTGAAAAGGATCTTATTTTTTATTTCTATAGATTTAGAGGGTACAAGTGCAGTTTGGTTCCATCTGGGCTTCTAGTACACTCATCACCCAAACAGAGTACATTGTACCCAGAAGGTGTTTTCTTGTCCCTTATGCTCCTTCCACCCTCCCACCTTCCCAAGTCTCCAGAGCCCACTGCTGCACTTTCCATGTCCCTCTGTACATGAATTTTTGATGTTACAGGTAGGCAGCCACTGCCCAAGATAAAGTTCTGTACACTAATATAGTTTCCTTTAGCCACATCTTTTTATATATGGATGTCTCTATTACTGTCAAGGAAAAGAAAGACTCTCTTGCATATTTTGCTCAAGCCCATAGTCACTCCTCTGAATTATATGGCTTGCTGGACCTGTCAACTCAGTAATCGTCCTGGCAAACACCATTAGCTATTACTTTGAACATTTCATAAATAGATTTCTTCTCACAGGAAATCTATTCTCTGCACTACAAAATGCTGCTGAGAAAAAAGAAATCAGATGTAAATGGAGATGTACACCTCAAATATATCTAAAGATTCAATGCAATTCCTTTCAGGAGATCAGTCTTCTTTATTTTTGGTACTAATTGAAAAATAAGTCAGAAATTTACAATAAAAATCAAAGATTTCAAAATATGCAAGACAACTATGAACCAGAAAAATAGTGTGAGGAGTATGTAATACAAAATCCCATAACTTAATAAGAAATGTGTATTTATCAAGACGGTGTATTATTGGTACAAGAGGAGCAAAAGCAGAACATTCACAAATGTTCACTTGATTGAAGATCAAGGTTATGATTTAATAAAGAAAGCACAGTCTTCAAATAAATTGTGAATGTTTAATTTTATATCATTATGTTTATGGGTGTGATACACACATAGACACACACACACACACACACGTGAATTACAAATTGATTCCATATCTAAATAAAAATGACAGGCTGGATGAGGTGGCTCACACCTGTAATTCCAGCACTTTGGGAGGCTGAGGCAAGCGGATCATCAGAGGCCAGGAGTTCGAGACTAGCCTGGCCAACATAGTGAAATCCTGTCTACTAAAAACACAAAAAGCAGCCGGATGTGGTGACAGGCACCTGTAATCTCATCTACTTGGGAGGCTGAGGCAGGAGAATTGCTTGAACCCAGGAGACAGAAGTTGCAGTGAGCTGAGATCGTGCCACTGCACTTAAGCCTGGGCGAGGGAAACTCCGCGT